TACTGGATTCCTATAAAAAATTCAAGTTGACTAGTAAAAAAGGTTTAGACGCTTCGATACCTGGCATTTTGGCAAAATTGGATCAAATGCCACGTACCGTGGCGTCCTGGGTTCTCAGAATTCAATCAGTTGAATCTAAGAACCAGGGTATGTAGCGTTTTTTAAAAAAATGGTCAGACACCGCAATAACTTGTGTCTAGGGCTTTTGGGTTGTAAAAGCTTAGTGAGAACTTGGGGGGCCTATGGTTTAGACTCCACTAGAAGTGATGTTTTTAGACTTTCTCGGTACAGACTCGATGGAAACTGGCATCCAAACTTCAGACAATTGGTTTTTCAGTATTTTGCCGTGCTTTTCATTATCATCTTATTCTTAATCATATCATTGACGAATCTTATCCCGATTTCATAATCTTGAGTCGGTTTCCTAGTTCAAGGCCTAAGGATAAGTTTCTAGATAGTCTCCTAAATTTTTAGGACTCCTAAATGATTTCTAAGGATTTATAGAAAGTTGGGACCATGGTCTCCCTTAACTACATTTTCATATGTTTCAGAGTATTTTTAAGATGGGTGAGGTTTGCAGAAGGTTGCTTCCTTATACTATAGAAGTAAGATGCTCCTATAAAATTTACTTAGAGATGTTGTTGAAAACCTTATGATGGCTTCAAAATCTATTTTTATCCTAAGTTATAAAATTTTTAAATGATACAAATTGAGCCGATCAAGAAATACTTTAAAATATTGAAAATAGACGGGTCTAGATAATTTGTTACAAAATGCATCATTTTTTGGACTTAAAATTCTTTTTTCCCTTCATATCCATTAATCTCAAAGTCGTGAGCGTTCCCACTATAGGATTTTTGAGGTACACCTTCCTCCAAGAGTAATAGGTTGCAACCTTATATAAACTTCTTCCTTTTAAGATCGGGAAAAGTTTATGTAAGGTTGCAACACTAAAATGTAGAATTATAGATGCACCTAAAAAATCTATTGGAAAGGTTGTTTTAATGTTGAAAAACCCTTTATTTGATCATCTCGGCATCGAGATGTATATAAAAAATAAAAAATAAAATAAAAAAATTGAGTCTTAGAAATAGTGCGTCTTGCAACACATTATCTAGACCGTCCATTTTCAAGATTTTCATATGTTTATAGATCTCCTTAATTTTAACCATTTTTGGAGTTTAAATTTTTCTAATTAGATATGAAAATAAATTTTAAGATAATCCTAATAATATTTTACAACAAAATTACATATTATAATAAAATTTGGAGGTGCGCCTTAATTGGACTGTTTAAGGTTGCAACCTCATAGAAACCGCACCCTTTAAGATAATTGTTTATTCACTCCGACATCCAAAATCTAATCCATTTTATGAGTGTTTTTGGGATCAGGAATTCAAGAATGACCTCAACCTCAAAAAAATAAATTCATTTGCATTTTTTATGCTCCCATAAAACAATGCCCTAATATTGAAAAAAAATTGTCCAAATTTTTACTAGTTAGATCTATGTGTTTTCACTTTTTCTTTTGAAAATAATGACGATTTTCTCAAAATTAATATAGAAAAAATCCCCATGCTTCTTTTCCTTGGAAGAGCAAATATACAGTGTGCTCCTGAGAGTACGCTAGTCATGCTTATGCATGTGTACATTTGCCCTAATCCCTCACAAGCCTCCATGACCCTTTTATAACCAAGGTGTCAAAAGAAAGATCGGCGTGGAAGAGAGAGAGAGAGTGAATCCCTAGATTTAGTAGAGAGAGAGAGAGGAAAATTAAGAGCGATCCAGTAGAGATAAATCATGGGTTAGAGAGTAAGAAAGAGAAATAATAGAAGGATGCAATAGCGAGAAGGATGAAGTTTATATGGCGAAAACAAAATAAAATTTCACCTCAAATCCTCATTTGAAAAACACTGTCGGCAATGAAAATCTTATCTAAAACCAATTTATAACACCAACAACAAAACTCAAAACTAAAAAAATGTACAGATCTTGCGGATTTGTGAACATTTATTTGTCGGGTGAAATTAATGGTCTATATAATTTGTTACAATATATACTATTTTTAGAGTTTAAAATCCTAATTTTTTTCACAACCATAATGTTCAATCCAAGATGAACAATGTAAATATTTTCAAGTGCTTGAATTGTAATTTTGGATGAGTTATGAGGTGAGGCTTTACTATTTTTTTATATGGTTGCATCCCTATCAAACCATTTTTCTAGAAAGAAATAGCGGATCCTTAAGGGTGTGAAAGGAAATAGAGAGAGAAATAAACGGATACAATGAGAGAGAAATAGAGGGATCCTCAAAGGAAATTGGCATTTCAAAACTCAGATTGATGGGACATGTTATTCACCTAAAAATCTGTGTCAGATTGCCAAATTGATGTTTCAGATCGGGTTTAAATCAGTATGAATTGGTGATTTAACAATATTAATAATAACAAAGGAAAATAAAAATAAAAATATAGTGGGAATTAAAAAACTTAAAAAAATAATAGATAAACTTAAAAAAAAAAATCATAAGAAAGGGAGTTTTAGGGAGAATCCAACTAGTTTGATTGATCCCCGTATACATCGACAATTCAGCTAAAAAATCATGCCGGATTTTAAATTACAGACTCGGTTTCTATGCGGCCAAGCCCGTGTATTTAGATATGCGGGCCTCTTAATAAATCTACATTTGAGATGGACCTCAAGACTTAATTTTTTAAGGACATGTAACATCTAACATGGAGATAACGAATATGAAAAAATAAATAGATTTTAAAAACTAGAAATAATGATTCTAGCAAGAAAACATTTGGATAATTAGTGTCAATTATTTTTAGATGGATGTTTTACACTTTTTAGACCGTATATGTAGAAATGCGGTCCAACCGCATGAAATAATTTTCCTTAAAATACTAATATCTATACTATTTCGGACCATGACCGGTCCATCGACATTGACGGTTCGGATAAAAAATAAGCCGAATTTTAAAAGATGGAGAGAAATAGTGGGGTGCCATAGAGAGAAATAGAGGGATCCTCAAGAGTGAAAAGGAAAGAAAATAGAGAGAAATAAAGAGATACAATAGAGGGTGAAAGGATATAGAGAGATAAATACATTAGAGGGGATAAAATAGAGAAAAAAATCATTAGAGGGGATAAAATAGAGAGAAAAATACATTACAGGGGATAAAACAGAGAGATAAATACATTAGAGGGGATAAAATAGAGAGACAAATACATTAGAGGGGATAAAACAGAGAGATAAACACATTAGACGGGATAAAATAGAGAGATAAATACATCAGAGGAATACAATAGAGAGAGAAATAGACGGAGTTTGAAAGGATATAGAGGGAAATTAGAGGGGATACAATACAGAGAGAAACAAAGGGTGTTAAAGTATATAGAGAGAGAAATTAGAGGGGATACAATAGAGAGAGAAACAAAGGGTGTGAAAGTATATAGAGAGAGAAATTAGAGGGGGATAGGGATAAAAGTATGAAAAGGATATAGAGAGAAATTAGAGGGAATACAATAGAGAGAGAAACAGAGGGTGTGAAAGTATATAGAGAGAAATTAGAGGGGATACAATAGAGAGAGAAACAGAGGGTGTGAAAGTATATAGAGAGAAATTAGAGGGGATACAATAGAGAGAGAAACAGAGGGTGTGAAAGTATATAGAGAGAAACTAGAGGGGATAGAGATAAAAGTATGAAAAGGATATAGAGAGAAATTAGAGGGGATACAATAGAGAGAGAAACAGAGGGTGTGAAAGTATATAGAGAGAAACTAGAGGGGATAGAGATAAAAGTATGAAAAGGATATAGAGAGAAATTAGAGGGGATACAATAGAGAGAGAAACAGAGGGTGTGAAAGTATATAGAGAGAGAAACAGAGGGTGTGAAAGTATATAGAGCGAGAAATTAGAGGGCATAGAGATAAAAGCGTGTGAAAGTATACAATAGAAAGATAAATTAGAGGGGATACAATAGAGAGACACAGGGTGTTAAAGGATATAGAGAGAGAAACAGAGGGTGTGAAAGGATATAGAGAGAGAAATTAGAGAGGATACCATAGAGAGAGAAATAGAGGGTGTGAAAGGATATAGAGAGAGAAACGGAGGGTGTGAAAGGATCTAGAGAGAGAAATTAGAGGGGATACAATAGACAGGTACATTAGAGGGGAAACAATAGAAAGAATAGAGGGACAACTTTAGAGCGAGAGAGAGAGGAGAGGCGCATGAAGAGGTTTAGAGAGAGAGAGGAGAGAGACAGGAAGAGGTATAGAGAGAGGAGAGAGAGGAGAGAGACAGGAAGAGGTATAGAGAGAGGAGAGAGAGGAGAGAGGTTTGAGAGAAGAGGAGAGAGACAAGAAGAGGTTAGAGAGAGAGAGGAGAGAGACGAAGAGAGGTTAGAGAGAGAGAGAGAGAGAGAGAGAGAAGAGTAGTGGTTAGAGAGAGAGAGAGAGAGACGAAGAGTAGGTTAGAGAGAGAGAGAGAGAGACGAAGAGTAGGTAGAGAGAGAGAGAGAGAGACGAGAGTAGG